TCTTCTGACTTTTCAGTGGTTTTGTTTGCTCTTTAAAGTTGAATTACATTATTCACTTTATTTTTTTTTTATATATTTAAGTTATGGCAGTTTGACTTAATCGTACCAACACGAGTCTTTCTTTGCAAATATAATTTAGATATTTATTAAATACCTAGGCCTTATACTTAGCAGAATACTACTTTTTCCTAGCACAATTTACTACTTTAAGTAATGACTGTAATTAATTAATCCCCATTTAACTCCACACATCACCTTTTTAACTCATAATTAACTTTCTGCTAGGAGACAAACGAATTAAAACACATTTTAAATAACATTTATGTCACTTTCCTCCATTCAGAAGCCACATTCAACGCAGACTTCTTTTTTCCTGGTGCTTCTTGAAAAGTTATTTCCACCTTTTTCTTTTTTTTCCGGGCCAAAGTTTTTTTGCTTGGCATAGTCTGCATGGAATTAACATGGCCGGGTCTGTTGTCAACACGGCAAATGGTTCGGGTTCAGGTGTCAAAATTGTTTTGGCGAAAGTTTGTTGAGTATTTCAGGCACAGGCTTGAGATGTGCCGCAAAACCCAAGCCCATATCCTGACACTGTCATGCACAAAGAAAAATTAAACAAAAAAAAAATAAATTTTATGACAAGCTATATAAATAAATATTTTTCTTAAAATTCTTCTAACTGTTTCCTAATGTTTTTGAGTACAATTTGTATATTAAATCCTGCCAAAGTAATTTTCTGAGTGCATTTTACCTTAGCTAAGTGGCGGAGGGCAACGACGATGTCGCTTTTGGATGAAAAAGTTCTGTGTTGCAACAAAAGCATAACTGAAGGCAAAGGAAAATATGGTGGGAATTTTTTAACGCTTCCAAGTTTGCACGTCGACGACAGCTTGCCAAAGGTATGGGGGGATAGCGTAAACTATTACATAACACGCATTATACAAAAGGTGCCGCCAGGATGGCAGGTTGGTTGGTTGGTTGGTTGGTTGGTTGGAAGGCGTTTGCCCAAGGGAGAAAATGCATAAAAAGCGCATTTTATTATTTCACTCGAAACTTGTTTACGCAGTGCTCTCACCCTCCTTCATTATGATGTAATATGGTTTTAACATTATTTTTATTATAAATCAACAAAATGCACTCAACGCGACTTACTCGGTTGACGCCGCGACCCAACTTTTCACCCACCAAAGTGGCGGCAGTGAAAGTCCAGAGGAAAGTGCTTGGGAAAAAGGGTGCTGGAAAAGAAAAGCGAGCCAGTGGGAAAGCTGAAAAGAGGGGCCAGATTGGACTGTGATTTATTTAATGCTATTATAGTTATGGGTTTATTACAGTGACGGTAACGGATGCGGTGTCAGAAGGCAAGGAAAATAACAAGACTATTAAAGTAAGAAACTATTTTAATATATAGTTTCATTCTTTAATTTTTATTAATTAAGAAAGTGTCATTAAAGAGTTTTCTCTTATTATTTTTATGGAAATGTATCAAACTATTTTAATGAAAAAATTCTTAAAAGTATATTTTAATTAAAAAAGTATCCTTGAAGATTGTTCTCTTGTTATTGTTATAGAAATTTTTTTTAATAATTTTAATTTTTTAACTTGTATTTTACTTAGAAAAGTATCCTTGTATTCTTCTATATTTCTAAAATATTTTTATATATTTTCATATAACAAAAACAAATTTTTTACTGCATTTTCTAATATTTTCTTCAAGTCCTTCCCTAGGAATTTTCAATTTTTTTGGTTTGTTGGAAAACTATCCCGTTAAATGGCTTTTCCAACCGCTTGACAGAAGCGTGAAAGTACCGGGGCCACATTTATCTTTCGGCTATGCGAAACAACAAATGTCACAACTGTCTGTCAAGTCAACTGCACACCAAATGGAATATCTCCGGGGCACAGGACAAAACAGGACGCAGCTGCAATTTGCCCGTCTATGCTGCTGCTGCTCCTGCTGTTGCTGTTGCTACTGCGTTTCAAGGATAAAAGCCCTGCCACGTTTATGCCGCTGCACACTTATTAATATTTTTGCCGCCTGAGTCGCCGAAAATGTCAGTGAAATTTGTCAACTTCATGGCAACGCAGCGAAAATGTCTCAAGACGGCAAAAGTGAAAGTCCCAGGCGCAATGAAAGTGAAGATGTGTGTGTTCATTAAGTGCAGGCAAGAAATTATCTGAATTGCAGGAAATTGAGAAAAATCACTAGGGTGGAAAGAAAAAATTAAGGACACTAAAAAAAATAATATACAAATTTTAATGTTATAAATTAATTGTTGGCCAAACTATAAGAAGTTGGCGAAGTAAACGAAAATTATTCTCAAAAGGTAAATGTTTAAAAATTGGACAAATTAATTTTAAATTTCATTTTTTGTATTTTTCTACAATGTTTTCTACAAAACTGTTTGCCAAATAAAATTATTCTCAGAAGTAAATGTTTAAAAAATCTTTTACAATTAATTCAAATTGTTTTAATATAATTATAAATTGAATTTTCTATATTTTTCAACAAATTACAGTTTTGAGAAAAAGTTCTTCAAGTCAAACCATTAACCCCAATGATTTCCTAAATTTTTTATAACTTCCCTAAAATGTTTTCTTCAAAATTTAAATTTTTTAAAATTTGTTATACTTATTAAACGAATTAATACTATTTCTTTGAGTGCACATTCCTAGTTTATTGAGTTCAGAGACTCAGAGTCGTCGTCATCATCTAGGTGAGAGCTTTCGCATGCTGATTAATGCGACTTGTCATATTATTCACCGATTGTGTGTGCTCTGCATTTTGAATAAGACGCATCGGCATCAGCATCGTCATCGGCAGGACCCATTATCCTTACACTTCTTGCATTGCAATTTCCTGTCCTTAGCCTCGGCGATTTGCATGCTGATCTCATTAGCACAAAACAAGTTCATCTGCTGCTCCCGGGGAAGCAACTGTGCAAGTGCACAGTGCATCATTTGCATGCAAATGTCGTTGGTAGGCCACTTCCCCCCTGGTTGACTCCGTTGCCTCCCAGGATCCTATGTGGTTTCCACTCCCCACTCCTCCCTGGTGCCTCGATTTTAGCTGGTTGTTCATTTTGCTCTTTGGCTCTCCGCCTTTGTTGTGGTTTCGTCCTGGACTTGGCTTCTCCTCTGCAGCTGGGGAAAAGGGAAAGCCGGGAAAGCTCGGCTCTAGGGCTGACTGGGCTCATAAAGCAGAGCCACAGTTGCGACTGCCGTTGACACTTTAGCCAATATTCAGGGCACGCAAAAAAAAGAAGGAGTAGTGGAGGAGGATCAGTAGTAGGAGGAGTAGTGTAGTCCAAGAAGTGGCCTTTATGAAAAGTTTCTTTTTGCCATTCGCAAAACTTCTTGTTTGGCAATTGTGTTGGCCAACGACGCTGTCGTTGTCGGTTTTTATTGCCCTGCAAACGTGCTCTTTACCCACTCATTATGGACAGTTTAGTTGCACTTTTAGGGAAGCTCCCAAATGGGAAATGAGCTTACACATTACTTAAGAGTCCTTTTTTCTACATAAAGGAGATTTGTTACTATTTTTTTGTTAGATAAATAAGTATATAAGCTTATTTCTATTACTTGAAATATAAATCCAAATGTTTTCAACTTTTTTAAAAATAAATACTTTATATTTTTACCATAGAAATTCTAAGAGATTCTTAAGGTTATTTTAATGATTTGTAGTGTTATCTATACATACATCTACGACTGAGAAAGTAGTGCACTTTACTATACAAATATTAACTCTATTCTTCAACTTCGATTTTCTCTCCACCAAAAAAAGAACAAATTCATCTTTAAAAACTTTGTTATTCACAGCATTTCTTGCATCAAGGCAATCCGCTTATAAAAAGCACTAAGAGTTCAAAGAATTTTCTCAAAACTACGACTCCCGTTCTGGCCACTTAAAGACCAAATAAATAATGGCAAGGGTGGGTAGGTGGCTGAAGCATCCGAAGGCATCCAAGCCCATTAAAGCAATGCGCTCCAACGCTTTCCCCAAGTACAATTAAGGATCTCAGCGAACGCCAAAAGCCATACGCAAAAAAAAATATATATATGTTGTGGCCAGGAAACAATAAACAAAAAAAAGTGGACCGAAATGAAGAAGAAGGTACAACCTTTACAGCTGTAAACAGGTCCAAGACCTGGGCCCAAGGCCAAGTCTGTGGGGGGAAAAATAAACAAAAATGTAATTTGCGCCACTTAGCAGCCAACGAATGGACAGTGCCATTAATAATTCCATTTTTTTTCGGGTATTACCGCGGTGGCACAGATAATAAGGAAATATGACTTTGTTCCAGGGCGTCCCGCTTGACCGCAAAACAAAAAAATAAATGTGAAATTAAAAACCTAAACAGAAATATGAAACAGAAAGCGAAGCAAGACTTTAAAGAGAGCTAGGAAGACTTTGAGATTTGGTGAAAGTTTAAAAGTAAAAGAAACCAAAAATTGGTTAAAGAAATAAATATAATTAAATGTATTGCAGTTTAGGTAAATATTAGGTACCTAAAATATTATAAGCCATATTTTTTGCAGAATAAATCCCTTGCTTTGTTATTGTTTGGTATTCTTGGCTTATTGAAAATCCAATTAAGGTGACAAACTGTCCGAATTTATGACATGGGGATCGCAAAGCCCCAAAGGACAAAGGGAGTTTGAGTGGGATTGAGACACATAATACATATATACCATATTCGACCCTCATTCGAATGATATCCTTTATGCATATTCATGGGCAAAAAGGGCGTGGGTCATGAATTATGAAATGTAATTGAATGAAATTGAATAATGACGGTGGCCGGTGTCAGTTGACAAGAAAAGTGAAATGCCAATGAGCGATTTATGGCCCAATTTCGATTCGATTTTGACAGCCGCAAAATGTCAAAGCCAAGCGAATGAATAATGCAAGGATGTCCTTTTCCCCCCCCATAAATGTATATAAAGCGTGGGCCAAGGAATGCCATTTGCATTTCGGCTTTAAAGTAACAATACCCCAAATGCATTGGTGGTTACTTATATTTCTGGTGCAGGACCCCACCAATGGACTCCTCCAGGAGCACGACCTGGTCTTGGGGCAGGATTATGATGGTGTGCAAGAGCCGCTGCGTACTTCCCTGCTGCAAAGCCATTTCCTGCAGGAGTTCACTCTGCGCCACAAGCACATCCCCCGGCTGACCCTCTTCACGTGCCAGGACCCACCGCAGATTCCCCTGGCCAAGCCCCATGCCGAACTCCTTGGCGGCGCTTTCGCGGCTAAGAATGCGCAGCTGATTAAGAACCTCTACCAGAACGAGCTCTTTGTGCGGATTGTGCAGCTGGATGAGCTGGCTCAACTGACGCCACAGCCGGGGGGCGGACGGCGTCCGGGCAGCGGGCCATCGGGAGGATTCAGCCAGACGCCCAGCCAGGCGCAGAGTCTCGCCGAGTGGTTGGACTCCGTGCTGCAGATGGAGGCCCTCAGGCAAATTGTAGTCGTGGATCTGGCATGCGGCTCCCTTAGCCGCCGATTTCTCGAGTTGGTAAGAGTTGGTGGGGAAAATGCGGTGAGAGGAGGGAGTAGGGGCTCTTAGCCTTACACTCGCGGAAAACTGCAATTAAATTTGGTGTTTCAATTGAGTTAAGGAGGTATAAATATCTAGGATTACCAGGAATGATAAGATTCCTTATATAGAACCCCTTAAAATAAACCCCATTTTGATTAAGTGCACCAAGCGGCTCTCATCGCCTTGTCAAGTCCTGCCTAGTCCGCTTATTAAGTGCTCAAGTACAATCATTTCAAAGGCTTCCACCAAGATGCTCTACAGCGAGAAGTTTCACTGGTTATTGATTGAGGATTTCGCCTGGCAAGGAAGACTTTCGACAGTTGTTGGGGAGGCAAAGCAGGCTACGACCGCAGAGGAGGAGGAAAAACCGGCCGGACAGAACCTACAGACATCAGAAGATGAGGAGATGCCCTCCATTGAGAGCTTCTTGGGTGGCATGAACCTGTACATGAACACCGAACTGACACTGGCCAAGCGAATGTCAGAGGCAGCCCACTACACATTGTTCGATGTGTGGTAAGTGATTAAATCTTAAATTTTGTATTTCAGTTAGAGGAATTTATAATCTAAGAATTCATTGAATTTTCTATTCATTATGGTGCTAGAAAATATTATTTTCTAACCAAAAAAATATTTAAAAATCATTGAAAATCACCATTAAATATGACAATCATTTTAAGAGCTTCTTTTAGATCACTCTTCGCCCTGCTAAGAACTCATAAATGTCTTTCAACTGACTCAAAATTTCACGGAATCATGACAAGCCATCATTTTGTCCACCAGTTGACCTCAAAACCATTCAACCCCCAGCCATTCCCTTGCAATGCCATCAACACATCAGCCATAGTTTCCCAACTGTCGACTTCCCGGCTGCTAATTCCCACAACGACTTGCTCTCCCCGTTTTTCGGATGCTCGCTTAGGAATCCCGGACTCAACTATGGCGGACACGTCAATCTCACCGAAATTGGCAGCTTCACGCCAACGAAGGGAATCCAGCTGCATGCCTGGTTTCGGACCACGTCCACAGTGCGCCGTCGGATGGACATGCAGCATGCGAGGGTTCGCTGCATGGTTGTGGTGAGTCGTTGTCCTTGGAGGGGGAAAACTGTTGTGGGGAAAACAAGAAGTCATCATAGAAACAACATGAAGAGAGATAGATGATGCACTCGGCGGAAAAAGGGAAAGTAATAATGGAACTGTGACATTAAACATTTCACTGAAAAAATCCTTTTTTGAACTATTTTTCTGGCAGTGCCATAGTTTTTGATATCCAACCAAATCCGACAGGTGACCAACAAAAACATGACGGGCACCCTGATGTACTATCTCACGCACACGGTGTCCGGTCACATCGACACCATGAATCGCTTCAACTTCAATCTGCTGATGGCAGTCCGCGACATGTTCAACTGGACGTTCGTCCTTTCGCGTACCACATCCTGGGGCTATGTGAAGAACGGGCGGTTCGATGGTATGATTGGAGCTCTCATTCGCAATGAAACGGACATTGGTGGAGCACCGATATTCTACTGGCTGGAGCGGCACAAGTGGATCGATGTGGCTGGCAGAAGTTGGTCAAGTCGTCCTTGCTTTATCTTCAGGCATCCAAGGAGTACACAAAAGGATCGTATCGTTTTCCTGCAGCCCTTTACCAACGATGTTTGGGTTTTGATTATGGGTTGTGGCATTATCACTGTCCTTATACTTTGGCTACTCACAACCATCGAATGGAAACTGGTGCCACATGATGGTTCGGCTTTGATTAAGCCAAAGGGAGGTGCACCACCGCGGCATTACCAGCAAGAGCAACATCATCAGGAGCCCATGGAAGTGCGTCCCATAACTGCAGCCTCGGTGGTTCCTATTGAGGAGAAAGTGCCCGAAGAGGATGAGGATACTACACCTATAAATGCTGGAACTCTTTGGCAACGCTGCTATCTGAAACTCAACAAATATCTAAAGGAACGCAAAGCCAAGCAGAAGAAATCCCCGGAAAGAGTTGGTCTCTTTCTGGAATCAGTTCTCTTTTTCGTGGGAATCATTTGTCAACAGGGTCTCGGGTTTTCCACCAGTTTTGTTTCTGGTCGTTGTATTGTAATCACCAGTTTGCTTTTCTCTTTTTGCATCTATCAGTTCTATTCGGCCAGTATTGTGGGTACTCTGTTGATGGAGAAACCGAAAACCATCAAGACTTTGAGTGATTTGGTGCACAGTACGCTGAAGGTGGGAATGGAGGATATACTCTACAACAGGGATTACTTTTTGGTAAATAAAATAAGAAAGAATATCATTTAAATATGGTTTAGATATGATTAAACTATGCCACAAAATGTTCTACTATGCAAAACTAAGAATATGTTTAATCAATTTCAAACATAACATTGTTTATTGAATATTTTTGGGCACATTTTTTTTATTGTTCTAAATCACTCTTCTTTAATTTAATTTAATAAAAACCCATTTTAATAGCACACCAAAGACCCCGTATCCATGGAATTGTATGCCAAAAAGATTACCAGCTTGCCAACCACCAAAGAAAATGAAGCCGATGAAGATGAGCCTGTGGATGCGGCACAATCCTCTACAGATCCCGCCAAATCCTATCGCGATATTGTGCACAGCCATGAGACAGGAGCCCATGCCAAGGATAACTCAGCCAGTAATTGGTTAGATCCTGAAACGGGTTTACGTAGAGTCAAACATGAACGTGAGTTGTGTATAATTAAATTTCTAGAAAATCACTTTATGAATTTTCCCCTAAAAGGCTTTGCCTTTCATGTGGATGTGGCTGCCGCTTACAAGATTATAGCAGAAACCTTTAGTGAACAGGACATTTGTGATCTCACCGAAGTCAGTATGTTTCCGCCACAGAAAACTGTATGCATTATGCAAAAGAATTCGCCGATGAGAAAGGTTATCTCCTATGGGTGAGTCCTGCAAAGGAAGAATTAAATTCACACATTTTTCCAGCTTTGTTTTTGCTTTAATTACCATAAACTGAGGTAGTTGGTTTAAAATTTTTATTTAATTAAAATCATTTGATGTTGCATTTAAGTAGCAATTAAAATTGGTTATAATGGCCTGCATATAATCACTGGTCCTTGGCAGTTAATAAATAGTTTCAAATTATAAAATGTAATACAATTTACAACAAATAATAATGGTTTCACAATTTAATAACATTTTAATTGCCTTTAATGACTCTTATTCCTGCACAACCCTTTAATTATATTTAAAAATGAATATTTCATTCTGAAATTCGTTCAACAAATCCTCTTTAGATTGCGTCGTGTAACCGAGACGGGAATCCTTTCGTACCACTTTAATGTCTGGCACTCGAGGAAACCTCCTTGTGTGAAGAAAATTGAGACCTCAGACCTGCATGTGAGTTTCAGGAAGTTTCACACTTGACTTTTCCCACTGCAAAGCTTTTCTTATTCCAGGTCGATATGGACACTGTGAGTTCTGCCCTGTTGATACTCCTGTTTAGCTATGGGTTCACATTCCTGATACTGGGCGTTGAGATCCTGTACTCCAAGTGGCAGTATCGCATCGTAATCAGGCTCAATTGAGTTACCCACTTAAATAAAAAATTCAATAAAATGCAAAAGTAGAGATTATAAACTTTGACACCTGAGATCAAGCGGAATTAATTGTCGTGGAGTAAGTTTTCTGTTCATTTTGAATGCGAGCTTTCCGTTTCATTAGCTTGCCACAAAGGGAAAATTCGATTTTCACCCCAGACGACGACCATGAATGTGTCAAAAGGTAAAAGTTTAATTAAATTAACTTCGTTGAGCGACAAAGGGAGTCCGATTGCATAATTAAATTGTGCAGTTGCTCAAACTTTTTCGTTTGCCAGACAAGGGGATTGATTTAATCCCCATAATTAAGCGAATTAGAATTTATTGCGGTCTCCGGGGTGGAGCTTAATCTCAAGTCTGCAAATAATGCCACAAGATGGTGAAATTGTTTCTTTCGCCGTCGAATGGAAAATGCCTCGCAGCGGGAAATGGCGAAGAGAGAGAGAGTGAGTCAATTTTGGCCACAAACGAACTACAAAATATCCATTAAGATAACAAGTTTTTCAGTAGTTGTAACACAGTTTTCCTTCCTTTTATCGCTCTCATATTCTTCTTTTTTTTTCATTTTAGTTTGTTCTATGCAGTATCCTTGCCTTTTACCAGGAGGCTTCTTCATAAAAGTTCTCGTCCTGTGTCCTGGTCCTGTGTTATTTTGGCTCTTTGCCAAAGTGCCGCTCTTAGGCATTTCTTTTCCTGTTTGTTTGTTGAATTTCTTTGAAAGGGACTCGTCGTCGTCGTCGCTGTCGTTGTCGTGGCTTCCTTGGTCTTAGGCTGAAAAGCCGCAACAAGCATCAAGTCCCTGGGAAATCAATTACAAGTCGTGAAAATCTGTAAAGCGTTCCCGAAACTTGTCAACATTTTCATTTAATGTTCCTGCTCATTAGGAGTGACCCAAAGCGAAACAAAAAGAGTGGTAAATGCTCGATGGGCGGGCGGTGTGTGTGTGTGAAAAACTGACTTTTCGGTGGTAACATGGCTGATTGAAAAAGTTTCCCAGACATATGGGTTTTCCTCGCTTCAGTTTGCCTTAGTTTTGGCTACGTTTCGGGCTTAATCCGTTCACTTTGGTTATATGTATTTATCCACGAAGCCATAAGATGCAATTTGGTTGCCGCCTCACTTCGTCGACGGTGACAATTAAATTGTTTTGGCTTTGTTTGAGCAGCAAATTGTGCAACAAAACTTTGGCGGTTGCCAACAAAAATAAACAGCGAAAAGAAAGTGCCAGGGAGAGAGAGTGCCGAGTGCGAGACCTGCAGGAGCCGTGCCATAATTAACAAAAGCGCTCAGCAGGGCGCGTAATTTTGCCCGCTTTACCGCCAGCATGATGCTGCACTGGAAAAAATAAAAGCCTATCTTTTTACTAATATTGTAATTTTAATAAAAATTGAAATATTCAAAAATGTGCTAACATTTTAAAGCTTGTGAATGAAGTGGAAAAAGCTCTTTGAATAATTTTTAAATATTTATAATAGCTTAAAAGTATTTTTATTTAAAGAAAACCCTGAGAACTATATTTAAAAGTTTTTAAAAATTAATTAATTTAATTAAATTAAACACAAATATTTTAAAAATATAATTTATATTAATTTAATTTAATTTCTTTCTGTGATCCATACAAATTTATGCTCTTTTTCTCTCCCTCTGAACTCGGGGCCTTGGCCAGAACCGAAAAACTTTCCGCGCAAAGCCAAACTAAAGTAGTTTCCCCAAAGACAGAGCCGGGCTAGAGATCGGTTCGAGATTGGCCAGCGGAAAGGGGGGGCTTGGAGAGAGTTTCGAAGCATATGCTTTGGGGCTTGTGTCAAAGTGTGAAAAACTTTATGCGTCTTAATTAAATTTTATATACAGCAGAGCAGGGAAGAAATTATGCGCCAAAATATTGCAACAGCTCCCACAGAGATCCCTCATCCTGGCAACTTTTCAAAAGTGACAGCTGCACTGGATTGGGGTCTTAAGTGTGGGCGCTATAAGCGAGTCGAAGGTCTGGCCGCGACTTGACTTTAAGCCAACCAATTAGGGCAAACTTAGAGGAGGATAATGGAGTGCCTGATTATCTAGATTATTCCGTCTTTTTATCTTCGCTTTGTGGGATAATTTTTATGGTAGGTAGGAAAGTTAGGCAGGTGAATAATATATGTATTAAAAAGAAAAGTTATAAAGGTAAAGAGAAAGATAAAATATTTAAAAAAAGAAAAGTTGTAAAGGGGAAAGAATAGGAAAGGAAAGAATTTTCTTTAAAATAAAGTGAAAGCCTATCAGGGCCGTTAAACTATTTCTTTAAGCCTTGAATATATTCCTAGTCTTATAACATTATTGACTTTAATTAATTATACTAATTTTAGCTGATACCTACTTGCATTTCATATTCAATATTTACCTCTGCTAATTAACTTTCCTTGTGGGCCAAATAAACTAAACAAATTTGTACAGAATTCAAGGTATTTCTGGTTTCTCATTATCATTCCAAGCGCATAAACGGCAGAATGTGTGTGACATACATTTGAGGAGTAAAATGGGGAGAGTTTTTGGGGAGGTAAAAATCCCAGACACGTGGCCAATTTCGAGTGTCACAGACCAGATTTTTGTGTCTGGCTTTGCAGGACTTGGAAATGCTGAAATGAGATTTTTCTAAAAAGGTTTCAGTAACATTAAGAAAGGGAAAAGAAGAAAAAATACTTTAGAGGTTCTCTTTTAAAGGATTTTATATCTAAAAAATATATATCTAAAAATGTTAAATATATTTTTATGAAAACCTAAAAGGAAAACCCACTTAATTGCTTTTGTTCTAGTTGGCTTAATTAATACACAGGTTCGTGGAAGATAAATTATTCCAGGACATGTTCTCTGCTCATAATTGAGGTCCTTTTGGGGTCCCTGTGTAATTTAATGTTTCTACAATTGCTTTTTGTGTCTGATTTCATTTCTGTTGTAACTAATTCCCCCAACAAGTTGTAAACTTTAATGGCATTTTTGTAGTTGTCCTGTTTTTTTTTTGTTGTTTTTCGATTTGTTCATAATAGTTGACAACTGTAATTTATGATTTTTTTTTTTCGCTGCGCTGGCGGTTTGGCCAGTTGCCAAACAATTTTCATTTTTTTTGCTCTTTTCATAAACCATTTTTTATCAGTTGTGCAGGTGGAAATGGAAGGTGAAAAAGTTAGTTATGGGATTGTTAACTAATGTACGAATGCATTAGTTGGGCATTTATATACATATATAGTTTCAGCGATAGTAAATATTGAATAAAATGTGCAGCTTTTAGCGGAAAAGCCCTTGCATATTATTTAAACGCTTTGGTCAATTGCCAACTTTTAGACAGAAGTCAGACACAGAGATAAAGGCAAATAGACAACCGGTGAACATCATTAATACGCATTATTTACATTTTCTCAAAAAGTTCAAAATCGATCAATTGTCGTTTATTCGCTTTCAAGTTGAGTCCTTTCATCTGTGAAAGTTTCTCCGTTTGCTGGAAAATTTCTTTTCCTACAGTTCTGGGTTTTTTCTTTTCTGTCTAGCCGTTGGCACCGGAAGTTGCCTGGCAGCAGCAGTGCAAACCGGAAAGAAAAGAACTAAAAGAAAATCGAAAGTTTTGATTTATAAACGGACAACTTTAGAGCTGCGTTCGATTCAGTGCCGCTGCTGTTGCATTTCTTGACTTGGAAGGGGATTTCCCCGAAGAATGGAAATCGAGAAGGATGAACTTTATTGCCGGATTGGTATATTTAATTTATTTACAATATTATCCGCTGGCTTTATTGTGCGTTGTCGGGCTCAGGTGTTGAATGGCCCAACAATGCCCAGGCCTTAAGTCCAATAAATTTCAATTAAAATGTCAACAATTTGCAGAGCAGCGACAAGATCTCTTCCACCGACTTGTCAGTGAATATTTTCCCAGAAATATATTTATATATATATTGGCCTGGGAGGATTTATCGCTGCCATTTGCTTATTGACAGCTGGGAAAGTGAGCGTGACATGATGGAAAGTAATCTAATGGAGAGGATAGCCCAGCTGCCTCAGGTAATTCATCATAAATATGCACAGACAATCCCGTGTATACACCCCCTCACACCTGTGGCTGTCGTCACGGGAAGTCATCAATCTTCTAAAAGGCAAGTCGGCTTCCCTATTTTCCCTGCTGCCCCTTTTCTATTATGGAGGAGGAGAACAAAATTTAAATAAATTGTACCAGCAGTCGTTGTTAACTAAAATGCATTCTGGCAAGTTGAAAAATGTGAAGGGAAATGTAAATCGATTTAAATAAATATTTAAACACAACTATATCGTTTATAAGATATTTATGGTATATATTTTAATATTTTTGTTGCAAAATTGTTTTATAAATACTTACTTTGCTTAAGGAATATACATTTATTACCATTTCTACTTTTAAATATTATTATTTATGCCTAAATTCTTATTTAAAATATTCCATAAATACGTTAAAACTTTAAGCGTACAAAAAACATTTGTTAAAAGACCTCAAAATGGAGGTCAAGGCTAAGTCTACATATTTTTTAGAAAAAATAAAACTGCTGGCAACTGCTTGACCCTCATCAAACTTATTTCCAGCTTAAAAATTCAGTTTTTTTCTTCTTTTTCAGTAGTTTATATTTTTGAAAAGCCGCTGGCAAAGCGTTTTCGGACTTCAAAAAGGAAAAAAAATAGAGGAAAAGCTGTGTGTTTTGCCGGCCTTTGCGCATAAAATAACATGCAAAAGGAAGCTGTCACTGTGACGACCGAGGACTTTTGATAAGCCGCCCAAAAGGCAGAAAGGGGTTAAGAGGGAGCACTGGCCGGCGGATGAAAAAAAAAGGGGGAGAAATAGAAATAGCGAATCCTAAAATGTTCGAAATTGAAAAGCGCTTTGGGGGCTGCCAGACTGAAGTGGTTAGTTTGCGTCCTTTGGCTGATGAGAGCGTTCACTTGATTGCCGGCTCCCGTTTACAAACTCCACTCTCTCCCCCCTTATCCATTTCCCG